TTTCTCAGGTTATGAGAAATCTTTATGTTGTTTTATTTATTAAGATCATCAATTTTCTTCATCATTTGTAGATTATAAATATTTATCAAAATGGATCAATTTACGCATCCAACTAGTAGCGGCGCCAGGATTCTTGACTAGGGTGGGGTTAGTGGCGTAGCCAGGATTTGATCGGTGGCCTGGCAATGCCTTACAAAATTTTTAAAACCTACCATATCTTTAGGGGTGTCGCGATCGGAGGGGGGTGGGGGCGTTATTCATCCCAATCTTTGGAAATTTTATTTTTTGCTCACCATTTTTTAAAAATTATTAGGAAATTTCCAAAAATTCTGGACGAGTTTTTGAGAAAGTCGTTGGAAATTTCCCGAAGTCTTCGAAAGAATTCCAATAATTTATAAAAATTTTGCAAAAGTTTTCGAAAACCGTTGAAAACTTACAAAAACCTTCTGAAATTTTCAAAAAATCTCTAATTTTTTTGAAAATTTTGGTAGTTTGCAGAATTTTCTGAAGAATTTTCGAAATTTTTCGACCCCCCCCTCAATCTTTAACATTGCGACAGCCCTGCGAATCACTTGATAATTTTCTGATGATTCAAAATCAGTCTGTAGTCTTTCAGTGTTTTAAAAAAAGATTAATTTAACACGAAACAAAGGGTCTACTGAGTAAGGTCGACGCATGGGGCACTGCGCCTCTTTGCTCTTGGAAAATTTTAGTTTTTCTTTGATCTATAAAATCAAAAAAAGGGTTTTCACACAGTTTTTTGTGTTAGATTTAAGCAAAAAGGGTGCTGCGCCTTTCTTCTCTTAAAACTTGAAATGTTGAGCGTTTACGCCCCTGCCTATTACTTGTTTAGTTATTTATATTATTCTTCAGATGTCACTCATTATCAGAGATATAGTCTTATGTAACTTCATCGACAATATAAAAAAAAATAAAATACCTAGTAAAATTTTTCTCGGTGGCCTGGCAAAAAGTACCGGTGGCCTGGCAGTGCCAGGCCATGCCAGGCCTTGGATACGCCACTAGGTGGGGTCAGGCCTAATAAATTTCAAATAGGGTGGGCTCAGATAGAATATCAATAGTTTTTTTAAGATCTGAAAAAAATTTCAGGGTGGGCCGAGCCCACTCCAGCCCACCCTTGGCGCCGCCACTACATCCAACGTTGACAACATTATTATGTGAACCATTAAAGATCCAACTCAGAGTACAAGATGTTCAAGAGGTGGACTTGGACAACCCAGGTGCACCAATCCCATATTCGGATCCAATCGGATCCTATGCTGGATTCTATCGGAATCCGATGATCCGACAAAATCCTATAGGATTCCTGGTGACGGAATCACTTCGGATTCCGTTATGGTCGGATCCCATCGGATCCAACATCGGATCTCACAATTTCCAACAAACGGATCTAGACGGATCCGATAGGTGACCATAAGGCCATCATAGAAAATAGCTAAAAACGCCGCTCATCAAATTTGCAGCAAGTGACTGAAAATTTTCCGTACGGAATACAATGCAAATCCGTCACCAGGAATCCTATCGGATTCTGTCGGATGATCGGATCCTATAAGATCCGATCGGATCCAATGTTGGATTGGTTGACCTGGGAACAGCACTGTAGGAGTTGCATCATACAGTATGGCTGAATTGGATTTAAACGAAAATGATCCTGTTATTTTAAATGGGCAAAAATTAGATGAGACATTATGTGTTGCTGTTATTGATGAAAGATCTTCTGATGGACGTATACGTATGAATAGTATTATCCAAAAAAAAATTAAACGCACATGATGGTGTTGTTATAAATATATGAAAATGTGAACAAATCCTCGATTGTCAATTTATTAAAATATTATCAAGTGATTGTTCAATAAAAAAAATAGCATTAACAATTAATCAAATACATGATCATTTGAAACAATATTGTGGTAAACTATATCGACCAGGGTGTGAGTGTTAATGTCTCTTCTCTTAACGCACACTTACACTTTAATGATATATATTCATTTTTTTCTTCGTATTGTTAACATGTGTTCATTAGTTTACTTTTTTCTTATAAAAATAAAACATCTTCATCTCATTTTCTTTTTTTATTAAATTTATTCAAATCGACATTATAAAATCGATTATCAAAGTTTTGTTTATTAACAAATATTTCAACTAGTAATGAGAAATAAAGAGAATCATTATTCTAAAACAAAGATTTAAAACTATAATAGAAAAATTTAAATATATAAATTAGCGATATCATTTGAACGATGGATATTTAAATTTAATAATTCACTATTTCGAAAAAATATTTGCATTTAATAATAAACTCACTTATAAAAATTTAATTATATCACTTACTGATTAATCATTCGTTATTTTTTGTTTAATCAGTTAAATATAGTAAAATTCGAATATATTTTCTTTAATGATATTTCTACTAATCAACTATAAAATTGATTTGTGAATATTCTTAATAAAATTATATTCTGTAATTCATATGATTTGATAATAAAAAAAAAGTACAAATTGTTTCTATGTGTCTTAATCTATGAGTTGACATCAAGATTAAACTATTAATCATTCTCGCTTCTATTGAGGTCAACATATGTTTTTATCTTTTTTTTGTTTTTATTCAAATCTTTTATTTAAAATGTTATTCGAAATAATTGTATCATTGAAAAAAATATCAAGCACAAATGATTATATTGAAACACGAATAGATTTTAAAAAAGATTACAAGAACAATGTTGTCTTCATCTACATAATTAAAACAAGTCGTGAACTCAATATATCTTATCCTATGCAAATATGTTACAGACATAAAAGATTACTCATGCACTATTCAACCGCCCTTCTTTTCAGTACAAATAATATAACTTCAGTTGTTTTTATTGATTAATACTTTTAGATATCATGACCCAAGTAATCACAATAATGACATTAGTTCCATCAACATTGTCATGAAGTGAAATAATAGATTGTGAAAATAACAATCTATTTGTATCTGTTTTTTCTTTTTTCTTTATGAATATCTTCGAAATAATTACATTGTAGTTTTGAATAAATACTCACTAAAACATCGATGACTACATACAAGAAAATAAATCAAAGATATGTGTACATAGCTTCTCCCTTATTATATTCATTTTTGTTTATCTTCAAGATATAACCTAACTGAAAAAGATGACTGCATCTATTTTAAATCTAACTGAACCGTCAGTAGTTTTAGTTTTCCTCCTTTAGTTTATACAACATAGAATAGTAACTCTTCTTCTGTGAATCAAAGACTTTATCATATTATTCTTGATATTATTATAACATTTTCAGTTCAGTTTTGTTCATTAGTACCATTATCAATCAATTATGTTCTTATCATAAATTTTATCTATCGAAAGTCTTTCTTAGACTGCTCATTTTCAGCGAGTTATTAACATAACATGTGACAAAATACTATTCATCTGTATTCAGTATTTTTTGTTAATTATAAGTACAATAACGATCGAAAGTACCATAAATTGTTATCTAGAATTCTACTTAACCCCTCAACAAATAAGTATAACACCTAATACAGTCAGTCAATACAAATGCATTCGGTAACTATCCTTCATTCTAAAAAATATATATATATTTATAGTCTTTTCATCTTGAGGGTGGATGTGGATGGAATAGAACACGTACACGTACACGTACACGTACACGCACACGCACATTCACACTCACACCCATACTCTTTATGTATGATCACAATATTCTAAGGTTCGACGAAAAAGAAAAGTAGAGCCAAAGAAAATATGTTTAACTTAAGATATGACATCGGAAAAGAAAAGATAATCGATCGAATAAAATACATAATATCTGATCCAGGGGTTGAAGAAAAGAAAAGAAAAGAGAAAATACCTAGACAAGCTTTCGTAAAAGTATATCATGGAAAGAAAAATTTCATTATAGTATAGATCACTCTTTGTAAGATATAATTAAATTTACAAGAAAATGTGAAAAAAAAATGATAACCGATGGTTTTGAACCAGCAATGAAAATACAATATTTTGAAGTAAAAAAGTTTTGAATAAAATCAAAAAGAAAGTTCTATAGAATTTTATAGCTAATTGTTGGATTTCGTTTATCAAATGGAAATTTACCATTAAAAATAACAAGGGCAGGTGTAAGCCATTATGAAGTTCCATGTATTGATGATCATGAATTACAGCTTGATCAAGTTACTACTGCACCAATGTCAAAAATACCTTTAGATGTTTTCTATACGAAGTAAGTTTATTTAAAATCATTTCTATACTTTTGATTCTATTCAATTAAGAAATTTGAACGACTTCATAAAAATACCGCAGCTATTCCTTCAACTCTTCTAACTTATTCTATGACTGATTTTCTTGTTGATTTATGGTTACATGAAACACCTCGTATTCATGCATTTATTCGTTTATATTTATATTCATCAATTCCATCTATTCATCTATGGTTAATACAAATTCATAAACGTGCACTTGAAATTTGTTTACAACAACTAAAAACTTTGAATAATAAACAAAATAAAATAAATCTTATTGATTTTACTTCTTGCATTACATTTTTATTCATGTGATACAAATGAATTTCGTTTAACAATTCGTGATACATTCAAAAAATTGTTATTTATGCAACAGAAGCAAATGATAATTCTGGACAATTATTTAATTTAAAAATTTTATATCGTTCAATTTTGAATAATGGTTATTTAGCACGTTTTATAAATGAATTAAAAGGTGGTTATTAAAAAGAATTATTAAATAATGACACAGTTATGACACATTTAAAAAAAATTCATTTAGTAATGAAAATTTATTTATATTTAATTGAAAATAAACTAGATTTAATATCATGTGTCTCTGTAAGTTAAATATAAATTAAGGTTATTGAAAATAAAAATATAAATTTGCTTTTAGAACGATTTAATATTAATGATACAAAGTCGAGATTATTCATCATTAGATCGATTATTAAATATTGAACAATTTAGATTATTACATCGCTATGTATTCCTTCTTGGATGGATACATAAAAGAATAGTCAATGATGCAATTGTATTGTATGATTCAATTAATGCATTACCTGACAAATGTTCGATGTTCAGTAAATCTTTAGAATTATTTCAACCTCATATTAAATTTATATCATGACTATATCATATTCGACGGTAAGTTAAATATATTTTTGTTTATTGATAATATTATATTGATATATATATTTATTAGAATTGATCGAACATATTTGACACAAATATTTCCATTGCGTTTTCGTCTTAAATTATTAAAAAATATTTTCCGTATAGATTTTAAAGAAAAGTATGAGTGTTACTGGTTCTATTTTTAGTCTTGAAACTTTACGAAGTACTAAAGGAACATTACTTTGATTAAAAGTTAATTTTATACCAGAAATAATTATGTTAACAAAAGAAGTATTGATTTTGATTCATTTATTTTATTTAAATGACAATTTATTTCTTTTTTAGGTAAGAAATTTAAAATGGTTAGGTTATCGAGTACCATTACCACTTGTTAATAAAGCTCATCAAGCTAATCAATTATATCCATATGCTGTTGGTTTACTTGAAAATGTTCGAGCTTATGAAGTTTCAAATGCAAAAGTAAAAGAAAAATTTGCTTTTTGTAATTATCTTTATTCTTCTGTTTTAGATAATTGCTGATCATGGTGAAGATTATTTAGTTGGTAGTATGAAAAAAGATATACAAAATTTAATTGTTGAAGGAACAAAATTAACTTGGGAATCATATAAATTAGAACCATATGTTCAACGATGTATTGAAGCATTTACACGTTATAATGAAAATGTATTTCAAAAAGAAAAATTTTATTAGTAATTACAAATTTAATTTAATTTTAGGTTGATGAAATTCTTCGTTTGGATAATCTTATGTTTACACATATAAATGAATTAGATGTATGTCCATATGAAATTGATATGTTTGCAGAATCATTAGAACAAACACAAAAAATTGTTGATGAATTTTGTTTACATGATTATTCAAATTTTCCAAAATGGATTGGAGTTATTGATGAAAAAATTGAACGAAAATTATTTGATCGGTTACAAGCAGCTATTACATTATGGAAACAAGCATTAATTAGACACGAGAAAGGAAAAGCAAGGGATAAAAAACGAATGCGATTAAAAGTAATGAATTAATATTTAAATTTTACATTAGATCGAATTAAACTAACTAGGAAAATCATAGATTGACACAGAGAGCAACGTTACAAATCGAAAATTTATATCTTGATATATATCTTGCTGTTTGTTTTCAGTTAAAGGGATCAAAAATGAAACATACCGTGTTGATGTAGGTTCTCTGAAGATTTTCTTGAAATAGCAGTTATCCTAAAAATGACACGGTTTATAGACTTATAATAATCAGTTCTAACGAAGGAACTATCTGAGGTGATATTTTGCGTTTTTGTTCAATCATATCTAACTAGATAGAATCTAACTAGATAGTAGAATTGTACATATAGAGATCTTTTACAGTTTAGTTTTTAGTAAAAATTTCAGCAGTTTTCGACAAAATCTCTTCGAAAAATCAGCCTGTTCAAATTTGTAGTTATGGATTTTTCTTAGAAAAAAGCACGAACATCTGGGAACCTGCGTATTTGCAGACATTAATACTAAAAACTAATCTATAATCAGATCTCTATATATACAAAGTTTCAGACTTAACTTCAAAAATACGATTTTTTCGAACCCCGAGGTCCTCTATAGTTTTTGAAAGACAACGACTGTGGGAAAATCTCTGTAGGCTTTCTACTATTTAGTTAGACTCTATTAAGTGAGATATGATTGAGCAAAAACAGAAGGTAATGGATAAATACGTCAATAACAGTGAAGAGATTAAACAGAGTAATTTATGGTATTAATTTAGTTTATATAGTCATATATATATTGAACTAAACATATGAAATTAGTCTCGATACATGATGAATAATAATTCGCGTACTAATGAGTACTTGGCGGAATGTATGAATATCAGACGATCTTTCTGCTGAGTAGAAATAATATAAAACTAAACAGAACTGAGATTACAACAGAATGATAATAATATGCTCTTTTATATTAGTATTCAGTTTCATGGAAGAAAACTGGTTTCTAAGATTTTGCTTACACATATTAGACAAGCAATAACTATTGTAATCTTTTCTTACTTAGCATAATACAATATTTTTTGTGAGAATGAAACTTTAGATAGCAACTCTTCTAACATTTATTTATTTATTTATTTTTACCTAGAAAGTTGTTCTCGAAATTCGCGTTGTTAATCAAATGTTGGTATTAGTTCCACCATTTGAATCAGCTTGTGAACAATTATATAATTCATTTTTCGATTGTCAATCAGGTATAAACTTAATTTGAATCAATGAATATTTCATACAATTATTTCTTTTTTATCTTAGTTATAACTTCACAAAAACGCATTAAAAATAGTCGTTGTCATGTAAGATTATTTATTCTATTGATATAAAGTTCATTACTTAGATAAAAAAACTTTATTTCAGGTTAATGCTGAAATCGATACAGAAGAAGAAGATTTAATATATAATGATTTATTTACAAAATTTCCTGAAGAAAGTAATGCATCAATTGGTGAAGCTTATGATACTATTGAACAATTAATTACCGAAGCGGAAACTTATTTTCAAGTAAAATATTTATTATCATATTTGTATTCCAAAAATTCAGTTTTTACTTATATCATAGGGATGGCTTAAATATCAAGTTTTATGGGATTTAGAACCAAACGATGTCTTTCAACGATTAGGTACTAATGTTCAATCATGGTTCGAGTGCTTAAAAGATATTAAGTATGCATTTAATATTTTAACATAATTAATTAATTATAATTTTTCAAATTTTTTTTTATAGAGAATCTCGTAAAACACTTGATACTAATGAAGCTTACAAATCATTTGGCCCATTAATTATTGATTTTTCCAAAATTCAAACAAAAATCGGTGTTAGATATGATAATTGGCATCAAGATTTACTTCGAAAATTTGGTCAAATTATTCAAACAGTTGCTAATGATTTTCATACAAATATTTC